AGCAACTTGTCTGTTCCCCTTCCCCAATTCCCCAGCACTGTTCGCCTCCCCCAATATCCCAATAAAATGACCCTTTCAAGTAGGAACTTTTCAATGTTCATTTCAGCCCCCAAAGGTAAAACATGTAGCCATTACTCAGAGAAAGCGTAATGTGTGTCTTGGAGGCATACATTTTCCCTGAGGCATTGTGTCTCTGAAAAGATGGAAGTCAGTAGTCAAATATGACATATTCACATTTTCACTTTACTCTCAACTTTTCAGGAACATGTCCTGCACCAAGAACAAGATGGAGCTACATTTCAACCAACGGTGGTTTCAACCTGTGCTTACTGTAATTTTTATCCATAGGTTTGAAGACATACCTGATAGCGGGTCAGAGAGCGAAGGAGTCTCATTGCAGCTGTTCAGAGGCCTTACTTTCTGGCTTTGAGGTCATTGACGGCTCCCGGGTGTCCTCAGGCCCTAGGGGACAGGGGACAGCATCGCCAGGGAGTATCAGTGACTTGGCGCAGACTGTCAAAACCTTTGATAACCTTAAGGTTAGTTTTTTTTTTTCCCTACTTCTAAAACTTTATATTAATTCTGCAGTAGAACATGTGAAATAATAAACAACCTTCAGGTCTGTGGCAGACAACTTGGAATGCCCTTCAATTAGGTTTTTATTATTTTTTAATGTAGTATAAAGGTAGCAGCATTTTGTCTTTTTAATATCTTTGCTTTTTTCGACATTCTGCACCTCCATTTTCTTTCTATGCTGCATAACAATGCTTCTCATTTGAGTTGTTTTTTTTTCTTTCTGAGACTTATGATGTCTTTTGGAATTTCTAAAAGCTAATCATAAATGATAGTAAAGGTGATTCTCCTCACATCTTGCTGGAGTGCTAGTTGGTCTCTTTTTTCAGAGACCACTTTCTCAAATATTCCTACGTCTCCTGAAATCCAGTTTTATGATTATGTTAAATTGTTTTGGTGTGGGTAAACCATAGGATGTAGCTTACCAAGTCTTGCCAAGAACATTATAGTATTTCATTATAGGAACAGAGATCTGATGGCTTTCTAGAAGTACCCATTTCTGTCATAATAGACTACCAAGGAATTAGCGTGAAGACCATGGGCATATAAAATCTCCCTAGCTTATGAGCTGTTTCTCAGTTTCACATTTGCCTTAGTTCTCTTACTGGTACCTCTTGTTTATTTTTACAGTTTAAATATTTGCCATTTGCATTTTTTTTAAAGAGATAATTTTAAGATATATGCACTTTATTGTTTTGTGCTTTCAAATAACACAGTGATATATTGACCAGGATGATGGCCTGTTGTTAGGGCTTTAGTCTGGTACGTTTCTTCATATTCACATTCATTAACAGATTTGAAAACTACAATAGCTATGCTGGAATTAAAGCTTAACAGGTATCATAACCCAATCAGCTGGAGTATCCAGATTATTTCACTGTGTCAGAACCCGTAGTGCCTGTCATCCAGTTACTTTGTGTAATTATTACATTCAGGTTTATTGACAGCACTCATATATCATTTTCATTATTTGCTTTGTTAACTTAGTGCAAGGTTTCTCAACCTCGGCGCTATTGACGTTTTGAGCCAGACAACTGTGATGCGGGTTGTCCCGTGCACTGTGGGATGTTGCGCAGCATTCCTGGCCTCCACCCACTAGATGCCAGTAGTACCTTTCTTCCCATTATGACAATCAAGAGTGTCTCCAGACATTGCTCAATGTCCCCTGAGGGCTGTGGAGGATAAACTCACCCTAGGTTGAGAACCAGTGGTGTAGGTATCAGACCCTGTCTTCCCCGTATTCTCTGGCACATGCGTAACGGCTAACATACCTGAAATTTCCTTAATGCCTCCACACACTCATGACAGCCTGTGTTCTGGGCTGATGTTTGGCAGTAGTCAGAAAGGAGCTCTCAGTGCACTGACTGTCACTGAGCATGGCAGGGAAGAATTGTGTGGGGGAGGAGCACAAAAAAACATGGCTTTCCAAATATGGTTTCATTCCCCTGGGGAGAAACGATTTCTACCAGGCTCCAAACTGAGCTGAATTTAAGTAGAGAAATAGAGCCCAGAGCCAAAAATAAATGATTTGTTGTGTTTGCTGCCATTTTAGATTATGTGTATGTATGTTTCTATCCATTAGGGAGCACAGTTGCTGGCTTCACTTTTTTTTTTTTAATTTGGATGGATAAAAATCATTTAGCATAATATTCTGTTGTCTTGTATAAATTTCCCAAATAATCATTAGAAGTTTTCTGAAAATCCTGTGATCTATGAAGTTGCCCGTGTTCGCCAAAAGGAATTGGAGAAAAAAAAAAATGACCTCCGTGCCCCTTCCCGAAGGGATAGGTGAATTGGATCTTGAAGAATAATTTCTGGGATATTTTGATGGCATTGGGAGGATAAGAGGACATCTGAGACCAGGACTGTCTCAGAAAGTTAGAATTACTTGGATCCACAGTTGGAATGGAAGGAGCAGGAAGAGATGAAAGACCTGGTCTCCACACCAGGCTTTGCCACGTTGGGAAGTCCTTGCCACACTCTTGCTGTCTGTGCTTCTAGAGCCTGTGGTAGGGATCAGGTGAAAGCAGGGGTCTCTGGTGCCTTGTAAATCATAAACACTGGGTAACTGAGTGATTCGTTATGCGCTAGCAGCCTTGACATGGAAGGCAGAAAACAGGTCTGCCTTAAAGATTAGATACATAGATGTGCTGTTAACTTATAAGGCCTGCCCTCAAGTAACACTTTTAGAATAATAGAAATATAAAATACCACTGCTTGTTCATACATTATTTGGGTGGCTTTATCCCCTAAACTTGTCAGTGCCTCATCATACATGTGTCACTGGTTTGTTGCCTTATATTGTCTGCACTACAGCCAGCTCTTCTCATTAGCTAGAATCACAGACTAGCTTCTCCTAATTCTTTACCAGAGTCTGTTGACTCTTTCTGTCAGCAGGCTTCATTCTCCTTTGTTGCTGCTCTCACCTCATCCAGCTAAAGTTAGCTCCCAAGTGAATTTGTCACTGACCTCACATTTCCCTCTTCCCCTGATGTAAGGCAGTGTTCCTGTGTGTTCCCTTGAGCAGTAGTTTCTCAGGATGGAAATAGGCGTCAAGTATAGAAAAAAGGTTCTGTGGTCAAGTAAATTGGAGAAATTCTAGGTTAAACAGCACTGAAAAGGTTTCTTTACTGCAGAACTTCTCAGAGCCTTTAGTATGCTAATATGCATCCTTAGGTCTCCAAAGAGGGATGTGGTATGCAGCATTCTCAGGCCTGTTTGATCACAGATTTCTTTTTTCAAGCTGTACACCCAAGCCTTTGGCTTCTTGAGTGATTGGCAGTGAGTTTCTCATGGGGAAGCCCTGGCATTGCATCATGGGTGCTGGGGCAGGGGGACTGCAGCACTGTGGCACCCAGCTCTCTGAGCTTGAGCTTGCAAAGATAGCCCTATGGTTTGGGGTGGGGGAAGGAGAAGTCAAGAAGGCAACCCCAGGAAGGAGACCAGGGCTCTACATGTCATAGCCACAGAAGGCAGCTTCAGTGCTGTGGGCGGGCCAGAACTCAAAATTCAGGATGCTTTTCAGAGCCTTGGCTTTGGGACTGGAACAACTCACCTAACTCCTTAGTGAACTGGCGATGACGAGGCAGTGTCTCAGGGTCTTGTACAGATTAACTGAAGTAATGCCCACAAATGCTAGGTTTGTAGTAGACACTCAGTAAACATCAGGACACAGGTTCACTCATTTGCACGCAGAAGTGGACAGTGACACTGTAGGAGGAAAGAAGGGCAGGAGGAGACAGAGATACTGTTGATTTGCCTAAAGGGGTCCTTGACTGTCTCGGGAAGGTCTCGCCTTCTCCACTTGTTCTGACTTGAGGGAGGTTCTTTGGTTATTGCTGTTGGTTTTTCCTGTGGGGGCTGTCACCACGTCACAAATGTGACATCAGGAGCATGGGCACTTGGCCTGGTTAGTGTGACCTCAGCTCTGCAGCGGACGTCTGCTGCTCATTTGTCATGAAGCTGCTGGTGATGGATGGCTGAGACTACACATGCCAATAACAATAGCTGCTCTAATGTCTTTGTGAATAACAAATAAATGAAATCCAAAGATGTGGATGGTTTTTAATCACATCAGTCCTAACCAGTGAACCGTGTGAGCTGTGACAGCATCTTAGTTCACCTCTGAAAGACCTCACTGAAAATGCACCTGCTTGGCTGTCTCTGTGAGTTTACCTTAATCTATATTCAGAATCCTGGGTCTGCGTGCTCACTGGATGTTTCTACATGTTTACGGTCAGTGATGAGGCTAGTGGTGTGGGTTTGTCCACATGGGGTGATTCAGAGAAAACCTGTCCTGTTTTCAAAAGGCTTATACTTTCCTTCTGAGGTCACTAGCCCTAGGGACCCTCCTTCTGTGACAGTTGCTGTGACTTTTTAAATGACTCTAAATAAATGATCGCTTCTTTTATTATCTCCTTGTTATTTGTTTGTAAAGTCATTATGAATGTGCTCAGTTGGCTCAGTTTGAGGAAGCAGAGGGCCCCTGCTTTTAATTTTAATTCATTATAGAAATGGAATAGGTAGTAGATCTCTCTCTCTCTCTCTTTCTCTTTCTCTCTCTCTCTCTGTCAATACACACACACACACACACACACACACAGAGTTTAGAAATTAAATAAGTATTATAAATGGTGGTCTGAATTGATAGTGGTGATGGTTGCAGAATTCTGTAAATATACTTAAAGCCATTGAATTATATACACTTTAGATGGGTGAATTGTATGGTGTGTTAATTATATCTCAGTAAAGCTGTTAATAAATAAATAGTAATGTGACTGCTGGCTCTGAAATGTAGATATAAAGTAAGTTTTTTTAAAAAGGACTTTTCAAGTTTTATCTATATTTTTAATCATGTACTTGTTTCCTTCAATTAAGAGACATGTAAACTGACAACTCTTCCTTACAGAATTTCAGCTAATAGATCTAGAAGGAATGAGGAAAAGAGACTCACCATTAGAACATCACAGTAATATCGCTGCAGGCAAGATCCATCAATGAATTCTAAAATTTGTGTGTATAAGTTTAAGGAGAAACAGGATATTTGCATAACCTCCAAGTATCTCTCCCCCATCAGATATTTATTCATTATAAAGGGAAGAATAATAACTTGCTGGAAGCCTGGCAGGCCCCGTGTCATGGTTCATAAGACTAATGGTATTGCGTACCCTCTGATGTGAGGTGCTGAGAAGGGCACATCATCTCTTTGGGGTTCTCCCTCAAATCCTAAACCTCAGTCAACTTGTGTGAAAGCATCAGACAAATCCAAATTCAAGACAGTCCACACAATACCTGACCAGGACACTTCAAAAGTGACAAGGTCATTGAAGACAAGGAAAGACTGAGGACCTGCTGCAGACAGGAGGAGACTAAGGAGACACAAAAATTGGAACATGAGATCCCGGAACAGAAACAGGACATTAGGGGGAAAACTGGGAAATCTGAATAAAGTCTCTAGTTATGAGTT